GGAAAGAGAGGGACACACATTAAATACTATCTTGGCAAACATAAAGCAGCAGTAAGCAGGATGCCTTAGGGCAGCCCAGCAGAGGCACTGACCTGTTTCTCCTCACTGGACACCAAGACTGAGAAGAGGCTGGTCCCATGCCCTGAGTGATGTGCAACTCAGGAACCATTCCAGGCAAACCCATCAGCTTTCACAAGCCTTGAGAAACCCTCACCCGAGTCTCTCCCCGGCAAGCCCCAGCAGTCTCCTCCGCCGGCCCCGAGCGCTCCCCCTGCTCACTGGGCAGTGCTGGCAGCGTGCACCCCACACTTGCAATGCTTGATTTTAGCAAGAAGACAGGTATTCCTACCTGAACAAGCAATGTATCACCACATCTGCTGCACTGCAGCGGCCCATCCACCTCTCCCTTCAGCATTCTCACCAGCTCAAATTGAGCTGCAGGGCACCTGGGGCAAGGTAGTTCAGTAACAAGTGTTTTGAAGAAAGGTGGGAAATGACTAATCACGCTTAGTGACCGTTTAGGGAATGGCAGCAATCATTAATGCTGGAGCAACTCCATGTATTTCCCAGGCTGAACTACTGCTTCTGCAAGAGGGCAGCTGCAAACACCCTTATCAACAGGCTGGAGTTGTAACCCCTGGATCTGCTTCAGAGGGCTGCTGATTTCAGCCCCAGTTAAGTGTGACATGCCAGGATCTGTAATTTTCCTGAGCACTGTGGGGCTGCACAACGTGTGTTCTGTTTGCTCCACATGAAATGGTCCTTGTTTGTAAACCCTGGACGGTTAGAAGAAACATAATGCCATCATCTGATGTATTTTGCAATAATTTACATTTGTTCTTCCCTCATGCCTTCTGTGCTGATCAGAGCATGGCCAGCTGCCTGTGAAATCTTTTCTTCATTCCCCTTTTCTCCTTCCAGATTACAAGGCATTTGAAGAAGCCGCCGAACACTTCCAGCCGTACATCAAGTTCTTTGCCACCTTTGACAAAGGGGTAAGGACCTCTGTAGGAGATCACAGACTCCACCACCTGTTTTCCAGAAGCTCAGGATGTTCCCAGATTTAATATCTGGCTCCAGCTTCTTGTTTTCAGTGTTCCTGTAATTTGCAGTACTGGTGTCTGCATTTGGATTTGGCCCTGTCACAAGATAGAAGGCTATTTCTGCAGTGCAGAGGCAGGTCCTGATCTGGGTTTGGAAACCAGCCCCATCAGATTTGCTGGACCTTGACTCTGGCCTTGCTCTGCCCCAGTGCTTGAGACCAGTAGTGTACATAACATCAGTAGTTTTTTTAACCAAGGGAAGATCCACCCAAATTTTGTTGGCCACCCCTAAGAGTGCATGCTCTGAAAGAGAAGAAGCCCCTTGGCCTCAGCTCTGCCACCGGGAGAGACTCTGGGTAGGCAAAGAGGCACGTCAGGCTAACTCACCTCCGACCACCTGCTCTGCAACAGGTTGCCAAGAAATTAGGTCTGAAGATGAATGAGGTGGACTTCTATGAACCGTTTATGGATGAGCCTGTTCACATCCCCGATAAGCCTTACACAGAAGAGGAGCTGGTTGAATTTGTGAAGGAGCACAAAAGGTATGTAGTGTACAGGACACTCCTGGCCATGGGAAGTGGGTAAAGGTATCTGTCATTGCAGGCTTGCCCCTCTAGGGCATCCCTCAGTAAAAATTAGGATGACAACAACCTTTTGGTGATTTGCTGACCCAGGCTTGAGATTTTGGCTGGTCTTTTCCTACTCCCAGAGGTGCAAGTATCTGTGCTGCAAACAGAGCCCACCACCATGGGGCTGTGACAACACAGCTTCCCTCCTCCTCCCTGGTTAGTCCTCCCTCAAAAAGCAGGGAGGCTTGTAAGCAGTGGAGAGCAGAAACCTTGCCCTACTTGGCCATGCTTTTAATTTAGGTCTGTACAGAAGATGATCTTCTCCAAGGCCTCTCAAGCTAAAATCAAATTCTGTCCGGCCCCCTCCTTCCCCAAAACAGCTTCGCTAGTGGGTATATCCCTCTCCTGATGTCAGATATGTCTGTAGGCAGGTTCTGAACTCAGACCAAGTTCAGAAGAACTGTGATGGAATAAGAGGCTCCTGCTGACTTCAGGCACAGAGAGGAAGCCACTGATGTTATGGCTGTCTTAGTTCTCATCTGCAAAGGTGCTGAGCACCTACAATTTGGTCAAGTCAGTGGGAGCTGTGGATGCTCCGTGCTTTTTGCAGTCAAGTTTATTGCACAGTTGTTTAGGTTCTCGGCCACTAACAGTCTGGAAGCAACTGGAAAGGCTGATCTTTTTTACACCCTTAAAAACACAGCATAGGATAGTCATGCAGGCTCTCTGCTGCTCCTGCAACTGCATTTCCCAGCAGACATTCAAGGGACTAGAGAAGAGTTCAAGAAAAGCAGAACCGTTGATACTGTTAGGGGAGCCCAAATCGGGCTGAGCTGGAGGTTTGTGTTCACACACAGAGGGTTCAGAGACAAGAGATCATCTCCAGAGTCTGCAAGTCGCCAGACTTGGAAACAGATCTCTGCTTTTTCTGAAATATGAAGGGGTCCTCTATCTCCCATGTCCTTGCAGGTCACTTTGCTGACCTCCTGACCTCAGTCCTTCCCATCTTTCTTCCCAAGCTCTTTCTGTCAGGCAGCAGCGTCAGGAGGCTGATTGAATGCAGTCAGCTAAATGCTAGCCTAATAAGGCAAGCTCTCCATCAGCACAAAACAGCAGTGGAAGCCCCCCAAGTCTTACATATTTCAAGATGCTATGTGGCACTTGGTAGGAGAGAGGGGGTGGGCCATATATTTTGCAACTGCCAAGGCTCAGAAGGGAATTAAAAGGAATCAAAAGAAATCGGATGCCAAGGTGCTGCTATGGCAGGGGAGAAACCCCGGGGTGACAGTGGTATGTTCCCAGCAGTTAATGCTGAGTCTGTCGGAGCAGAAGTGCTTCTTCCTGCCTTGCCACCAGTAAAGGACCTAAAGCCAAATGCTGGAAGTGTAATTAGTCAGACACGGAGATGATCAGGCCTGTAGAGAAAAATGAAGCGACCTCAGCAGCTGCCACGTGCTGGTTCCCTGTAGACATCTTGGCAGGATCGTCTCCTCTGCAGGAAGGGGTAGAGGACCACTCGCCTCCTCCCCGTCACACAGCAGACTTTCTCACTCTACCCCTGCCAGTGGGCACGGGCTATCCCTCCACAGAGGTGCAAAGCCCTGCTGCCACCTCTCCATTCCACAGAAGGAGCCCTGTCACATCACTGGGGAAAGCTCCCAGTGCTCAGCAGGACCCAGGCTTTTTGGTGTGCTTTAAGCAGCCCTTCCAAAAAGGGCTCCCCGCTGCTGTGCCCAGGCAGGCTTCAGCACCTCTTCCTCCAGCCTTGCACAGAATTTGGGATTTGCTGAGCTTCCACTGCAGCCTGGAGACAGGAGCTGAAGCAGGTGCCCAGGAGGAACCTGTACGCAGCCTCCCGGCTGATGCTTCCCTGGGCAGCTGCAGGCGGTGGTGGGAAAGTTCATCCTCTCCCGAGCAGGTCAGGAAGCCAGCGTGCAGCATCGTGGGGTCACTCATCCAAGGTTGTACAGCACATGGGTGTCCAGCTGGGGTTGGTGGCCAGGTGCCACAAATCCAAAGTCTCAGCCCAGATTTTGCTCTCAGTTGCACAAATACAAATTAGATGGTAGTTCCTCTGCCTGCAGGAAGAGGCCTCTGGGTTTATGCCTGTTTCGCATGCAAAATGCTGGTCCCCCCCCCCCCCCCCCCTTCTCTGTAATTGTGTGGCGATGTAGGGGCTGAATTCTGCTCCCTCTTACTCATCTAAACCTCATGTACCCCGCTCCCTCCAGCATATGGAAGTAACCAGAGTAAATCTTTAGTAACTCTGCAGCAATCAGTACAGGTGGGTGTGATCAAATCCTTCTCCCTGGGTTTCCTTTCTCATTTTTTATGTCATTTCTATTTTGATGCTGAAAGTATCTGGTTGTAATGAGTTTGGCAACTGAATTATGCATTGCATCAAAAGAGTATTCCTATTTGTTCAGTTTATACCTGCTACCTAATAACTTCTCTGTGCACCTACTAGCTTTTGTGTTAAGAGGAACAATAACTAGCCATTCCCTGTTCGACAATTTTTCTTTTTTATCATTCCCAATTTTTAGACCCTCTGCCAAATCCCTCTTCAGTCACCTCTTCTATAAGATAAAGAGTTCTTGTCTATTTAATCTCCACCAAACAGAGGTCATTCCATACCTTCATTCACCACTGCCATGTTTCCATGTCCCTTTTTCAGTTGTTCCATATCATTTCTGTGATGGGATGACCAGAACCACACATACATTCACTGTGAAGGTGCATAGTGTGGCTGCCTATTGCCATAATGGCATGATGCATTTTACTCCTTAGTAATTTCCCAACTGTTTGTAACCTTCTTTTTGCCTTTGGTCTTTGGAGCTGATGCTTTCTCAATTTGTGACAGCTGGACCTCTTTCCAGAGAGGGAATAATTAATTATAACTAATTTAGAACCCATTATTGCACCTGTATAATCAGGGTTGTTTTTCTCCAAGTGTGTTACTTCCTATGTGTATCTATCATGCAGACACTCGAGTCCCAGGAGATCCCTCTGTATCTCCTCATAGTCAGGCCTGTGTTGGTCATCAAAGAATTGGATATGATAAGCAAGCACTGCCATATTCCTATTTCCCATCTTTTTCAGATTATGTGAGAATGTGTTATGCATATGATCATGCCAAAGCATATGCTATGAATCTTAATTGGTGTCATGGTTTAACCCCAGCCGGCAGCTAAGCCCTACACAGTCACTTGCTCACTCACCCCACCGCAGGATAGGGGAGTGATTTGGAAGAGCAAAAGTGAGAAAACCTTTGGGTTGAGATAAGACAGTTTAATAGGTAAAGCAAAGCAAGACAAGGAACTCATTCATCACTTCCCATGGGCAGGCAGGTGTTAAGCCATCCCCAGGAAAGCAGGGCTCCATCACGTGTAACAGGTACTTAGGAAGACAAACACCATCACTCCAAACATCCCCCCCCTTCCTTCTTCCCCCAGCTTTATATGCTGAGCATGACATCATATGGCATGGAATATCCCTTTGGTCGGTTGGGGTCAGCTGTCCTGGCTGTATGTCCCCCCCCCAACTTCTTGTGCACCCCCAGCCCACTCACTGGTGGGGTGGTGTGAGAAGCAGAAAAGGCCTTGGCTCTGTGTAAGCACTGCTCAGTAAGAGCAAAATCATCTCTATATTATCAACACTGTTTTCAGCACAAATCAAAAACATAGCCCCGTAGTAGCTACTACAAAGAAAATTAAGCCTGCCCCAGCCAACTGACCATCCATCCCCACCCTTCATCTTCCAATGTCATTAATCCACAGGAAGACCCCTCTTCTGATCTAACTGCAGCTCAGTTTCTTTGTGAGCCTTTAGTAAGGGACCTTGTCCAGTGGTCCTCTGCAGGCAGCTCACCACATTGACCAACATACCTTCACCCATCCATTGTCTTGCTCAGGGAACTCCAGCAGATCCATGGCCATGACTTTCCTCTTAAAGGCTACACTTCTCATTGATGCCACCGGGTCCTGGCAATGTGCTGCTACTCCCTTTGCCAATTCGTTCTAGGACCTCAGCGACCAACACTTCCCTTTGCAACAGCTCCTAGGGCTGGTCTGCCAGGGAGACCTGTTCTGCTGGGACAGCCTCCCTGAGCATGTGATGCCTGAGTGAGCAGAGGTGCAAAGGATTACTTGTGCTTGTCTGCTATGGCCTTGTGTTCCTAGGGTGCCACTTTAACACCCCAGTCACCTCTCAGCCTGCCAGGCTCTCTGACAGGCTTCCTGGTATGGATGTGGCTGAAAACATTTACTATTCTTTTTTTTTTTTTTAATTCCCCTGTTTGAACTACTTCTCAAAAAATATATGCTTTGACGAGTCTTATGGTTTAAATTTTCTTGCCAGCAGTTATTATGATTTAAATTTTCTTCCCAGTGGTTATTCTGTCTTCTTTGCTTCAGCAGAGTTTGGAAGGATTTTTGTGGTGGAATTATGCTGGGGTAAAACCAGGAGAAAAGGGGAAGAAAGCCCAGTAGGAATGTCCCAGGGACAGCAAGACAGAAGTGAATGGGTCACCTCATGCTCTCAGCATGGACAGAACAATCTGCCATGTGTGGGACATTCACCAGTGTATCCCAGCACAGAGAGGCGTCTCATCTTCCCAAGCACAAACAGCGGCTGCAGTGGCTCCAGTGAGGGCAAGGGCAGGGTTTTACCACCATAAATAAAAGCATAAGTTCACCTACTGTGCCCCTGTGCTTGCATTCAAAACATGGTGGCCAATGGCACCAACTCCAGCCACCAACCAAACATGCCACGGTCACCTTTTCCATGATGCTGGCAGCGTCATGTGTGACGGTGCTGGACTTGTCCTCAAAGAGTGTTTCTGTTTTCCTTTCAGGGCCACCTTGCGGAAACTGCGGCCAGAGGACATGTTTGAGACGTGGGTAAGCATGCGTAGTGGGAAGCCTTGCATCCCCTGCTAGCTCCCAACAAGAAACCGCTGCTCAAGAGCTCCAACCACTGCTCCTTTGCCTTTGTCATCATGGTGGCCACCTCATTTTTAGCTGAAGGGTTTCAGCAACGCTACCTAAACTACCTGCTTCAGTGCCTAATACCTCCACAACTCAGCCTCACCTCAGCTCCAATTTCTGGTGTCTCGGTGGGGCTCCAGTCAAGCCTCTCTTTGCAATCATCCTGTTCATTTGAAGGCATCCCACCACTCCTCATCTCCAGCAACTGCCCAGACTCTGTCCTCCTTCCCTGGGCATCAGTAATAGTTTTGTTGTTTCCAGGAGGAAAAACATCTTTCCTTCCTTGCAAAGCCACTTTCCCTCCTCTGGGAAGAAGGGAAAGCCTTGGCTGTGATGCTCAGTGCCTCAAATGCTGTGCTGAAATACTTTGCTCAACAGCAGTGGACAGCTGAGCTGGGACACGTTTGCTCGACAGAGAGAACAGGCAAAGCTAACCACGTGTGCCAGGCAGGTGCTGAGCCTTTGTAGCAGCCATGATATAGCCATAGAGAGCATCCTCCCCAAGGATGCTCTATCTTATCTAACGAGCGTCGGTGCTGGTGGTGGGTGGCTTCAGTGGCCTGCTCACTGGGTGAGCTAGGGAATTGTACTGAATGGATGACTCATGGAAATTGTACTGGGGCAATTGTACAATTCAAAATGCAAGTGAGGGCAGGCAGTTCAGTTAAATATATAGATTACGGAGCAAATTGCGCATTGATTGCACTTCTCATGGTGTCAGCAAGCTGCAAGTCAGCGATTGTGAAGAACTAACCAGCCGTTTGGCACTGATCACATGCAGACTCTCCTGGTCTGCAAGTGAGGGGGAAGAGGGAAAGGGTGAAAATTAAAGAAAAATTGTGTATAACAAATTATCCCTTCGCTGTGAATGAGTACGATGTTAATAGCCAGTCAGGGACCTTTAAGTGCCAGCTGAATGCTGAAAAACAAAGCTGAACAGGTGTTTTACAGACGCGAAGGAAGATACAGTCATTCCTCCAAAAAGCTCTGCACATTTATAACAGCATTCAGTTGCCTCCTTGCTTGGCTGTGTAACATGAAATGCTGCAGGACTCCAAAGCACCAAAAACCTTGGGAGTCTTTAGAACAACAAAGTGAGAGGTAATAAAACCAAACCAGGAGTTATGAGTCACTTAGGCATGATAGCTTTTCATTTTGTTTTGAAATACAGTTTCCGTATAGAAGATAGCTTCCTAGAGCCACTGAAATCCCTCGAAGTTTTTTCATGGGGCTTCAGTGGGACCCAAATTTCACATGCAGTGGTTTTGCTTTCATACTGAACATATTCTAAAATAACCTCAGGAAAAGTGTGAATTGTCAGCAGTGGGATGTTCGCTTTACCAGCAGCCTGGGAATACAGAGCTTGCCTCTGCTACGAGCAGGGGACTCGTACCTACAGGAGACAACAGGCTGGATTCTGATCTTGCTGCAAGTTCAGAACATCCCCAATGCCTTCACTGGAGTTACTCCAGTTTTGTTTGCTGCCTTGGAGGTCAGAATAGAGCTATTTTATATAGCTATATATATAATTATATATCGCATAGATACATTTTTTTTTTATTTCGCTGTCTGACAATGCTGCTGGCAAATATGGAGAAAAAGCAACAGTGTAGATTTTACCAGCTGTAAGTGGTCTGAACCCCAAGTAAATCTGCCTAGAATGCCCCAGTGAAAACGTATTCCCTGAAGATGCCAGCAAAGGCCCAGCATCCGCTATTGTTTTTAAAGATAATGTTTTCCACTTAATCTTTCAGGGCTTTTTTTCCTTTCAGTTTTTGATAGTGGCTTTGTCACCTCTGGGCTCAGAAGGGAAAAGAAATTAGCATTTAGATGGGAATTTTTTCTCACATTAAAACCAATTCAAATGGAAACTGGGACCGGCAGCGGGTGAGGAAGGCAAAGCCGATCCATGGGATAATTCAGCGATGACATTCATAGCAGGCAGATGATGAACGGTCCGGCAGATGCATTGGCCTTTGCCAATATCATTACCCCTTACGCACATGTCTCATGGAGAAAAGCAGTCCACCATGCTGTCATTTCCTTCCTCCACTCATCAGAGCCCCAAAATGAGCCTCCCACTCAATTCCCCTTGCTGTTCACGAAGATCCTCACCTAGAGCAGAGACCCTTCACATCCCAAAAGGTGTCCAAGTGAGCCACCTTGCCTCTCATATTGTGAGGAAACTTCCTTTGCTGGCCCTGAAGGAGCAGGTCTGGGGGCTGAGCATGGTGGCAGATATTTGTTTTCCTGCAAACCATCCCCTGGCAGCTGCAAATTTATGAGGGCAAGTGGCCTTGGGTATGGAGGATGAGCCCATATTGCCATGCTAGAGAGCCCTTGGCCTTCCCTGCAGGCAGAATTTTACCCCACACCATCAGAAGCTCCCTTGCCTTTGCCATCATGGTGGCCACCTCATTTTTAGCTGAAGGGTTTCAGCAACACTACCCAAATCAGTGCCTCATACTTCCACGACTCAGCCTCACCTCAGCTCCAATTTCTGGTGTCTCAGTGGGGCTCCAGTCAAGCCTCCCTTTGCAATCGTCCTGTTCATTCCCACCACTCCTCATCTCCAGCAACTGCCCAGACTCTCCTCCCTCCCCGGGCATCAATAATAGTTCTGTTGTTTCCAGGAGGATGACATGGAGGGAATCCACATTGTGGCCTTTGCCGAAGAAGATGACCCAGGTAGGAGGCTGTTTTCCTCCTTGCATGACTCTCCATCACTCAAGATGGTGTAGTTTCATATGCTTTGCATTGCAGAGCCCCGCACCCCAGCTGGGACGGGGAGCCCCAGCCGGCCAAGACAGGGAGGCAGGATGCTTCTGGGTGTTAATGCTAGTAGGTGCCCTAGCTGGGATTCAAATGCATGGGCTCTGGATATAAATGGATGACTGTCTGGGAAAAAAAGTCATCCCCTCCACCCATGCGCCAGGATTTGGTCCCTAACTCTGCAGCTGTCTTGCTGTGTGGCTCTGGCAAAGTGCTAAGGGCTGAGTGTGTGATGTGCATGCAGGAAACCCGTGGGCATCAGCTCCTGAAAAGCCATGGCATCAATGCTTCTCAGTGCCGTCAGCGTACCGAAAAGCTTCAGCCTCTCAGGGGCTCAGTTCCTCCCTCGCCACAAGAAAATAGTGACATTGTTCCACTCCATGGAAGGATTATGAGACTTAATTCATGTGTAACTAATTTCAATACCCGGGGAGGATGCTTGAAATTAAAAGCCTTATTATCCGAAGAAAGAGCTGGGAGACAGCATTTTAATGAGAACTATAAACAACTCCTGTGTGAATAGGGGGGGTGAGGGAAGTTGAAAACCCTGCAAGCAAAAAGTGCCTGCGTGTTTGCAGCAGAGGATTGCAGCGGTTCTTGTATCATTTCAGATGGTTTTGAGTTCCTGGAAATCCTGAAGCAGGTTGCCAGGGACAACACCGATAATCCTGACCTGAGCATTGTCTGGATTGACCCTGACGACTTTCCTCTGGTGAGTGGCAGGGGCTCCGTGCCTTTCTTGGTTTAATTCATGGATGTGTGTGTGTATGTGAGTGCACGAGCACAGGAATTGCCCCAGAGAATTTGGGACAAGGAAAGACAGTAAACTGGGCCATGGGTGATCCCTGAGAGCTGCTCATTGGGGTCTGCCTTCCAGGAAGGTGGTGTCTTGAGAACATCCCCAGAGCTGGCACTTTCCTTTGCCATGTGCGGAGGTCCAAGCTCACGTTCAGCCTCTCTTCTCTCCCATGCGCTCATGGATGCACGCTCCCCGCATCACAGCCCAGCTGGCTGAGTTAATGCAAGGGGGTCTAGCAAACATCCTTGTCTGAGCTTTGTTTCTCTCTCCTGCAGCTGATCACTTACTGGGAGAAGACCTTCAAGATTGACCTGTTCCGACCACAGATCGGGGTGGTGAACGTCACAGACGTGAGTAGCATGTGCCCAGAAAATCCAGCAATCCCAAGATTAGGGTGCTAGAAAGGA